GGTCCCATCAGCGGTTGAGCAGGCATCGGCGGCGCGGGAAATCCCGGTGCAGGAGCAACTTGTTGCTGCGCGGCGTGTGCGTCAAGGAAATTAGCCATTCTAACGTCCATCATTCCCGGCAGACCTTCCATCACATCCTGGAATGCCCGCAACAAGTCTCTCACCGAGTCTTCCAGTTCTGCTAGTCGTTCCCCGGTAGTTTCCTCCGGGATGGGGTCCCGAGGGCGGTAGTCCGGGGGTGGGTCATAGTCCTCTTCCGTTTGGAAGGCTCCGGTGCCCTCCTCATCTTCTGCGTGGCCTCGCGGTCCCGACGGCTCGAACATCCACTCCTCGATGTCTTGCTTGGGACTCTCCTTCTCCGAGGTAGACCCTGGCTCCGGGAACAATCCCTTGTCAAACAGACTCTCACGTAATCCGCTCCCCCGACGGGAGTACACCTCACGGGTGCCCTGGGTGTTGTACATAGTCCAATCATCCTGCTGGTGAGTCTTCCGCGGACCCCATTGCGAAGGGGTCGGAGGCGGCCAAGACAGATGTGCAGGCAGGCGGGGAATCGCTCCCCCCACGGCACCCTCCATCGAGGCTGCAGTCGTGAACACCAAAGACGCGGAGGTTTGTGGGACCGATCCTGAGTCCCCCTCCGTGTTAGGTAGAATTCCCTCAATTCCGCTCATGATCTTGCCAGATTCGGAACGATAGGAAAAAGGCAGTTCTAACAATATGTTGGATCCCCAAGCATCGAGAATAAATCCACGTTTTCAAGAAAAGCAAAATTTATTTCAAAGCGTTGAAGACATACTCAAACACGTTCTTTGTTAGAACTGGGGATACACAGTTAGGTCAAGCATAATAAAGGAACTTCAAACAGATACAGATCCAATGAATAGCTTTCCCGCTGGCGGGCTAATGAAACGGTTGCGCGCCCAGTCCATGGGAACCAGGCAGAACATCAGACAAAACACAGGTGCAGTACTCATGAGAAAAGCAATAGGCAAGCATTACAGCATCTTCTCCCCCACACAACCTCCAGCAGTTATCTTTTGCATTCCAACGCAGGAGCAGGATGAAAGAAACCAAGCCGGGTGCAACAGGGAAAGGATATGTACACAGAGGTCACAGAAAACAGAATGGCAGCTTGCTGACAGTGTTCTGTATTTGATCATCTCAAGGATTGTGCAAGGTGTCGCAGCATAGTCCCTTGGAACAATGGGGCAGCTGTATACCTTTTCCAGGGAATTACTCAACAGCAAAATAGCAGCCCCTTGTATACAATACAGGTGGATTCGTGTCTTCCCCAGAGACTGGTGTACAAGATAAAGATAACAGAAGTTATCATAAGTCAGTCCTGAAGAATTCTTCCATACCCTTTATGTTGGTGTGTGACTAAGTCTCGACCTCATGTCATGAAGGAGAGAGTTACACTAGCTTCATATCAGTGCAAATTGTAGTTCCAAAATTTGGTTCTTTCTTTGCAATGCCTCTCCTACCTTCTTACTGGGATATAAAGACTCAGAGATCTCTTCCAACTGATATCTGATAAAGGGTGCTTTGACTCAAAATCTTAAAGCCTGACAATCTTATTGGTCTCCAAGGTGATTGAGGCATAGCCTGGTGGTTAAGCAGCATCGTCAAGTGCCCCACTTAAACAAACACTGGGGGCATTTTCTGGTGTAGACTTTTCCTCCATGGGGTTGTCTTATGAATTACTTCTGAGGCAGAATTCACATGGGAAACACTCAGTTCAAAATGGCGGCTTTCTTGGATTTTTCTGGAAAATTCCATGAGCAGAACCTGGCAAGGCGTTTGACCATTTTCTCCAATTACCTTTGATGAGACTCTGCAAGGATGCTTGTCCTTGGGGTCATTCCAGGCTCACTGTGATGGTGGAAAATGTTGCCTTGTAAACAAATCTGTGTTTCTTACCTAATTTGACTTAAATCACTCCTGTTAAGTTAGCTGTACAACCCAATGGCCTTTAAAAAACTGGAATTTCGTTCTTTTTAACTTAATTTTACTTTTCTCTCCTGGGTATTTTGTCTCCTGTTTAGATACACTTTGATGGCTGGGACCCTATGTTTGATTTCTGGATTGATGCTGACAGTCCAGACATTCACCCCATGGGCTGGTGTGCAAAAACAGGACACCCCTTGCAGCTCCCACTAGGTGAGAAGAGAAATAATGCATGATACTGTCTTATTCTCCCCACTAATTGCCCGGTTATTTAAAAATAAGGCTGTCAAATGTCTTCCTGAACAAGTTTTGTTTTTCTAGGGTCTGGAGATCCATCAGGGGCAGTGGGACAGGGATGCCCTACTCCTGGCTGCCAGGGGATGGGTCATGTCAGGGGACCCAGATACGGAACGCATTACACGTACGTGCACTGAGGGTTAATGGAGTAATTCCCAGCGGATTGTTATTGGGGGTGTATCAGTTGCCCAGCTCTTGTTAGAATAATGCAAATTCAGTGAATATGAATGAGTATCTTTGCTCTAAAATACTGTGCTTAAGCTCCCTCTTGTGCTTTGCATATAGCTTTCACTCACAAGCTTAATACTGACACCACAGAAAAGCAGCAATAGAACCTGGATACCTATCAGATGAGACTCAGCTGGCTCTGACTATGGAGAATCTCAAAGGCCTGCCACCCACAACTGCCCCAACTGGCCAGGAAGTCCAGAGCGGCTTGAGTTCACCCCTCAGCTTTTCCTGCCCTCCTAGGAAGAGCTCTGGGTAAACTGAAAAAGAGGAAGTACCCCTTTGCTTAAGACAAACAGTCATGTCTCACTGCTGGCTGAGCTATCTTTCTATGTATTGGTGTTTATCCGGGAAGGAGCAAGTAACTGCGAAACAGCAATTCTTCCCTTTTCTTTCCCCAATCAAAACCAGCAGCAAGATGGCAACACAGATGCAGAGACGTTCTTTCACCTTTGATGTCTTTGCAGCCATAAAATGTAGCTAGGCTCTTTAAATGCTCTTATGTCTGGTTACGTATGAATTCATAGGAATCTTGAGCCATCCACCCTAAAAGCTGCTGAGTTCTCAGTAACAAAGTCTGACCCCAACATGTAGAAGTCTTGTAAATACATGTGTGGGAATTTTTGCTGTATTTCTGGTTGCTTGGAATTCGTGGTAGTTTGCATGCACCATGCAGAGACCTCTTGGTTAAAAAACATTATTATCATGGAAAGCATGTGCCTTTGGCCATCAGTAGGGGTAGCACAAGTGTGTCTGCTAGCAGTGAGGGAGGCTAGCACCTGTTTCACATGCCATTCAGTGCATGTGCCAGTTCATAATCCCGCCTTCCCCTTTTGCTTCCCAACCAAGCTGTCCAGGGCCTTCTGTTAGGTCACTGTGCTCTTGACCCTCCATGCTGTGCATCTTCATTGACCTTTTTGGCAGCTCTGTGCTTCTGACTAGCTTTTCAGTCTGTACTGTTCACTGAATTTTGTGGAGGATTTTTCTTGTGTTGACATCTCTTCGAGCTCAGTCAGCTCTTCAGAGTTACTGAAGAGCAGGGTCATTTTAACAGCTGCCTTCCTTTCCTCTCTGCCTGAAGCTTCACACTCTTTGCAGTATTTATGAGTAGTCTGTATCTGCAAAATTTTTGTCTTGTTTCTAAGGAGTCTTCAGCTCTTGGGTTACCCTTGCTTTATCATTTTTACTTAGTGTAAACACAAGAGGGGGGAAAGGGTGGACCAGTAAAATTTTCTAAGAAACATATTTTCTGGTAACTCTTTTTCTTCTTTTGATGCAGGTTAGTTGGATGCCCTTACTCAGAAATCAATCGGAACAGAGAGAATTCCTTACAGGATCGCCTAGGTGGGGAGAGACCTTTACCAAATATCAGTATTCAGAAGCCCAAGAAGCTTGACCCTCCTGTGCCGCTTTCCGATCTACAGGAGGATTCTCCACAGTCCAGGTGAGGTTTAGGTTAAATATGATGAGCTGGCTGGCATTATCCAGGACATGTCTGTTAAGCTTTGCACATGCCAGTTTTGCTCCAGTAGCAGTGTGCTGTTCCCACTTACTCACTTCTGCCTGTGTGCTAAAACAGAACACCAGTTGTATGGTGTGTGCATTGCTTTGAGATTCTTTCATAGTATTAAAATAAATGCTTTTTTGCTTTCCTACTGACTACAGATTTGTACTCCACTCCCCCCCAGTTTCCAGCTGACCAGCATTTACTGGCTAAACTACATAGGAGTCTGTTTTCGGTCTCATGCAGAGAAATACTAAATGGCAACATAACACAAACATACTTTGCATGAGAGGACTTGGATCCAGGCTAAATTTTCTGCTTGTGCAGGGCACTTCTGTCAATGGAACAAAACGGAACAGAACATTCCTGCCTCCCCACTCCCACTGGAGCCCACTCCTTTTTCTGGGGGGAAAACCTGCTGCTGGGGGACAAGGGGCCCTTGGGGAAAACATGAGAAACAAACTGGGGATCTGCAGCAGGAAGGGGGAATTAATGGGAATTACTCTACCCCTTCCATTAGCAGAAAGTTTAGTCTGGATCCAAACCAAGGACTTCATTCACTTTTCAAGTCTGTACTAATAAACAGCAGCCGGCATTGCTCTGGGGTAAGAAAGGGACTTGCATGTGCCAATTTATAAGTTCTGGTTAAAGGTCTGTTTAATTTGACAGGCAGGGGGAATAAGGGTGTGGATCGGTAGTTCCAGTAGTTTCCTCAGCCTACTTAAGAAAATAAGAACTAGGAGTGTGCATTCAGCATAAACCGAGCTGAAATTTATTATTTAAGGCAAATACAGATCAGAGAATAGCTGAGTCCAAATAAAGCCGATTTTGTTTTGGATTTTATTCAGGTATATTCAGCTATGCCAAATGGCTGGTTTAAACTGAGCTGCAAGAGGAACCAGGCAAGGATTAGCCAGGGCGGCGGGAGCTCTCAGCTGGGTCATCTGATCCTCTCTTGTCTCCCTGCCGCATGCAGATCCTGGAGCCAGCCTCTCCTGAAGCGTGGTTTAAACCGTGCAGTGGGAGAAGCCCTCCCAGCCAGGTCTGCATGTGCTGCAGGAGAAGCCAAGCCAGCCCCGGGGTCAAGCTGGCTTTTTTTTTTAATTGGAATTTTTCTTCTTGGGTCTATTGGACCCGAAAAAATTGGGGATTTCCAAAGAATCCCAGATTTAAATACCATACTGGTATTGGGATCCAGGATTTTTCTGAAATACTGAAATTTTTTCACGTCAAGTAGACCCAAACTGGGAGCTGCGGTGGCTCAAGTGGTTAAGACGCTGAACTGCAGGCTGCGGAAGGTCAGTAGTTCAGCAGTTCGAGACCCGAGTTGCTGCATGACGGAGTGAGCTCCCATCTCTAGTTCCAGCTCCTGCCAACCTAGCAGTTCGAAAGCAAGAAATTGCAAGTAGATAAATAGGTACCACTTCGGTGGGAAGGTAGCAGCGTTCCGTGCGCCTTGGTGTTTAGTCATGCCAGCCACATAACCAAGGAAACATCTTCAGACAGCGCTGGCTCTTCGGCTTTGAAACAGAGACGAGCACCGCAACCCTAGAGTCGGACTCGACTGGCTTTCGAGCATGGGAACCTTTACCTAGACCCAAACTGAAAAATACTTTTTTTTTGCACACCCATAGTAAGAACATAAGAGAAGCCATGTTGTATCAGGCCAATGGCCTATCCAGTCCACTCTCTGTCACACAGTGGCCAAAACCCAGGTGTCATCAGGACGTCCACTGGTGGGGCCAGAACTCCAGAAGCCCTCCCACTGTGGCCCCCAAAGCACCAAGAATACAGAGCATCACTGCCCCAAACATAATGTTCCATCTATACATCTTTAACCTTTCTTCAAAGCAAAAGTGTTCCATCCCCTTAATCATTTTAGTTGTCCTTTTTTGTGCCTTTTCTGCCATCCCATCGGTCATGGCAACCATTGCTTCAGACCACTAGGAATGGGCCAAACTTTACCCTTCATCCTGTTGCTGCCAATCAGACCTGTCCTCCAGACCCTGACAAAGAAGAAAGGAATCACTCCCCAAACCAGAAGCTGTATTTGGGATAACTTTCTTCCCAGCTCCCAAAGTTAGTCCTGAGGTGTGTGTGGCATTGTAGCAAGCTCTTTAACGGATTTTTGCACCCAGACCTCGGGCATGCTCAGGAACCCCACCGCGCATGCCCAGAGGGGAGGGCGCGGACATCCCGCCAGTTCCTTTCTTACTGCCGCGTTGGAAAGACCTCTTTCTCGTCGGTCTGATAAGTTCGCTTTTTTGGCTATTTGCCTCACAGCTCTTCGGATTTTTCCTCACTTTATTCTCTCTTTCTTTAGTACTCTCTGTCGTCCAACAACACCCTCAGGTGACAGATGCAGTTTTCAATATCGTGCAGTTGGATACCTCCACTACTTTGGCATTACCAATGTCAACAGTCCTTTTACAAGCTGCAAAGGCACCATGGGAAAAGCCTTCATTAGCCCCAGTGTCAACAAGACGCCTGGATCACATGTACAGAGTCCAGGAAACTGGAGCTGAATTTTTATTCTCCCACCCTCAACCAAACTCAATGGTTGTAACCTCCTCCTCCAAATCGAAAAGAACCCACTCTACACCTTCGGGCAGAGAGAGTAAAAAATTGGATGCCTTTGGCAGACGCTTCTACTCCACGGGAGCGTTGGGAGTGAAAACCACTAACTACCTAGCCTGCATGAGCAGGTATCAATACACTCTCTGGGAAAGGTTTTCCAAAATCCTAACTCATCTTCCTGAAGACAAACTTCAGGCAGCTAGAGTTATTCAAAAGGAAGGCATGGTGTTGGCAAAACAGCAAATCAACACTTCAAAACATGCCCTAGACGCGTCCTCAAAAACGATGGCCTCTGCAATAGCTCTGAGGAGACATTCCTGGTTTCGTAATACCAGTCTCCTTCTGGATACTAGGTCTTATGTCGAAGACCTCTTGTTTGATGACCTTGGTCTCTTCAATAGCACTACCGATTCCATACTCCAAGATATGGATAAGAGCATAAAGGCTTCTCTGGCTCCAGGAGTGTCATCCTCCGCGAGACAACAATACTGTCCCCATACTTGGTCGAGGCCCTGGCAAAGGTGTACCCCAAGTCATCAGTCTCCTGACAGTACATCTTTAGGAGGCCAAAAACCCACCTTCCAAAAACCAAGGTTTGGATCCGGGCAAAACTCTTCCTGCACCAAACAGGCAAAACCCTCCAAACAGGGCTTCTGACTTCCCTTTTACCGAGTCAGTTCAAACCCGTCTATCACCCTTCCTTCACACCTGGCGTCATATCACCTCGGACAAATGGGTGGTGTCCATCTTGCCCCGAGGCTACCGTATCTAATTCCACCAGAACCCCATTTCTCCTGTCGTCATCTCCACACCCTTCCCCACCTCTCCTGGAAGAGGTGTCCGTCCTTCTCCGCAAGGGAGCCATCGAGCTGGTACCACCTCATCTGCAGGGGAAGGAATTCTATTCCCGCTATTTCACAGTTCCAAAGCAGAATGGAGGTGTTCGACCCATATTAGATCTAAGGGCACTGAAGTGTTTTGTGACCTACCACCGCTTCCGCATGGTGTCCCTGCAACAGATTATGCCGCTTCTTCAGAAACACGTCTGGATGGCCACCCTCGACCTCCAAGACGCGTCCTTCCACCTCACCATCCACCCCTCCCACCGCCAATACCTGCGCTTCACAATTGGTTCGAAAGCAAGAAATTGCAAGTAGATAAATAGTTACCACTTCGGTGGGAAGGTAACAGCGTTCTGTGTGCCTTGGTGTTTAGTCATGCCGGCCACATGACCACGGAAACGTCTTTGGACAGCGCTGGCTCTTCGGCTTTGAAACAGAGATGAGCACCGCAACCCTAGAGTCGGATTCGACTGGCTTTCGAGCAAGGGAACCTTTACCTTTTTTTACCAGTATGCAGCCCTTCCATTCGGCCTATCAAGTGCCCCAAGAGTCTTTACAAAGACTATGATTGTGGTTGTGGCTTTCCTCCGTCTCAGGGGTATTTCCACCTACCCCTATATCGACGATTGGCTTTTGGTCGCACCTTCTGAGAACGCACTGATCTCAAACATCAGGGAAACACTGGCACTCTTAGAAAATCTGGGCCTACAGGTCAATCGGGAAAAGTCTCAATGATGTCCAGTCCAAAGAATACAGTACATTGGTGCTATACTGAATTCCAAGACATGCATGGCTTACCTGCCTCAGGACAGAGCGGCAGACATTTATTTATTTATTTATTTACATGCGACTTCTATACCGCTCATAACCCCTAATGGGTCTCAGAGCGGTTTACATACTTACTACTATACAGTAGTGATTGAACCTACCTAGGGCCACATTTCACAAGGGGAGGGACTTCCCTATCGACACCCTGTTGGCAGCGTTTCTTCCCTTCTCCCGGCGGGCTCCGAATGTTATTGTTGTTCTTCCAGGCCTCTTTCTGGCTGCCCGGCGACCTTCTCCTGGAGGCTGGTGTTTTTGCGCGCAAACGTTCTTCCGGCTCACGTCCTTCCGGTTCCAGCTGTGCTGCGCCGTCCCTGCGTCTGCTTCGCCTGTGTCTCGCGTCCTTGCGTTCGCTCGCCTTCCGTCAGGTCTGGTCGTCCGGGATTCAGCCGCCATTGTTGTTTTCACCACTGCCGTCTTCACCTCCGTTGCTGCTGCCAACACTCCTGGCACGGAACCAGGAGGTGGGTGCCCCCTGCCACCTAGGGCAGGTACCCATTTATCTACTCGTTTTTATTTTATTTATCTTTCGAACCGCTGGGTTGGCGGGAGCTGGGATGGGGGCCGGGAGCTCACTCCGGCCGCGGTGGGGAATCGAACAGCCTTGAGGCTGTTCGTTACAGATGTTACAGGCAGGCATTGTATTGCCTGCGCCACTGTCATACATAACCAACCTTCTGTCACTGCCCTCCAAATTCAGAGGCTTCTCAGCCTTATGGTCGCAACTACGTCGGTTCTGGTCTTTGCCAGACTAAAAATGTGTCGTCTACAACTGTGGTTTATCCGCAAGTATGTCCCAACGAAAAACGCACACACCGTCGTCCTAACCCCTCCTCCCAACATACGAGACTCGTTACTTTGGTGGACTGTCCCTTCCAATCTCTTCCAGGGAGCACCTTTCCATCTTCCATCACCCCAAATCACCCCGACCACGGATGCTTCCCTGTCGGGCTGGGGTGCACACATGATGGGCATGTGTGTCGGAGGCAAGTGGAACACCCATGAACAAGGTCGACACATAAACGTCCTGGAACTGCTTGCAATACAGTTCGCTGTCGAGTTTCTTACCACTGATCAATGGGAAATGTGTTACGGTCCTCACGGACAACACCACTGCACTTGCTTATGTCAACAAGCAAGGAGGCACGGTCTCCCTACGTCTCTGCAACCTTGCCATCCAGTTATGGGACTTTTGCATCACCCACGACATCTTCTTGATAGCCACGCACATCCCAGGACACATGAACGTGCAAGCAGACCATCTAAGTCGAGCAGGGCTCAGTCTCCACGAGTGGGAAATGAACCCGACCTACCTCCTCCCACTCTTCCGCAGGTGGGGAGCTCCCCAAGTCGACGTGTTTGCCACCAGAGCCAACAAAAAGTGTCCTCTGTTTTGCAGCTGAGGAGGCAGGGACTTACATTCTCTAGGAGACGGTCTCCTTTATCCTTGGTCCAAGAACCTCCTTTACCTGTTCCCTCCCTTCCCCCTGGTTCTCAGAGTGGTCCTCTCAGAGACGGCGCGAACTGCATATTGATAACCCCATGGTGGCTGAGGCAACCATGGTTCTCGACCGAATTGTCAACAGGGATATACCACCAATTCCCTCCGGCACAGGACCTCCTCTTCCTGTCTGACTCCCCTCTCCTACATCACGACGTACCACGCTTGAAATTGACAGTGTGGAGAATAACGTCAATGGTTTTTCCACCCGCGTAGCAAATGTTCTGCTGAATGCCAGAAAACCTACTACGCGAAGGTCCTACCAATATAAATGGCAAAGATTCTGTTCTTCCCTTGGTGATGATGCCCCTCGAGCCACCTCTGCAGGTCTCGAGAAAGTTTTCCAATTCCTCTTATCCATCGCTGACTCAGGACTTTCCCACTCATCGTTAAGAGTTTATTTGGCCGCCTTTTCAGCCTACCATGCTCAAGTTGACAGATGCACACTGTTTTCCCATCCGCTTTTAAAATGTTTTTTAAATGGTTTTAAATACTGGCTTTCAGGCATGACACACCATACTTGTCCTTTTTGCCAGACAACGTCTGCCTCGTACCTGACATCTCGTTCCTGCCAAAGGTAGTGTCAGGCAGGCAGAGGTTTTTCTCCCGGATTTCTTCCCGCCTCTGACATCCTCAGAGGACAGATGTTACACACCTTGGATGTGAAGCGCGTGCTCCTGTTCTACCGGAACAGAACCCGCCCAGCGAGACGGGACTCCCAACTGTTCGTCTCGTACGCACCAGCAAGGCTGGGGACTCGCATCACGGCTCAGCGCCTCTCAAGGTGGATTGCAGGTCTCATCCGCCTCTGCTACCTGATTGCCAAACAGCCATTGCCTGACCCGATAATAAGGGCCCATTCAACTTGAGCTGTTGCTGCTTCCACTGCCTTCCTCCAGGGAGTGCCCCTGACGGACATTTGCAAGCCGCTACATGGGCCACACCTAACACCTTCATCAGGCACTACACCCTAGACGTCCGCAAAAACTCTAATACCAACATGGGACGTTGCATTCTATCTTCAGCTACGCAGTAAGGACCTGCCAGCACCCTCCTCCAGGTAGGCCACTGCTTGCTAATCTCCCATGGGTATGAAGCACAGAGGCCACATCGAAGATAAACAGGTTGCTTACCTGTAACTGGTGATCTTTGAGTGGTCATCTGTGCATTCACACCACCCGCCCTCCTTCCCTGCTGCTGTCAGCTTCTACATTTTCAATAGGGGTTGATTTGCGGCGGTTTGAAGGAACTGGCGGGATGTCCGCGCCCTCCCCTCTGGGCATGCGCGGTGGGGTTCGTGAGCATGCCCAAGGTCTGGGCATGAAAATCCGTTAAAGAGCTTGCTACAATGCCGATCGATCCAGTGCGTGCGCACTAGATCCCATGGGTGTGAATGCACAGATGACCACTCGAAGATCACCAGTTACAGGTAAGCAACCTGTTTATACTGCTCCTTCTATTGGGGGTCCTGCTGGAGGTGCTCTCCATTAAGGTGGAGAGCAGGTTTTGTGCACATTGCAAACATGTTTCAAGTACATCATTTGTTTTTCTTTATAAGAATGAATGGCAGCTATTAACTTTGGGAGCAAGCGGAGGAATTAATTCAGGGAAGTGCCATCAAAGTGGAGGCTTAAATTTGTCTCTCCGCCCAGGTGATCTCAGCATCTGGAGTGAGGAATTGGTTTTCCCCTTTCTCAGCTGTATCCCAAACAGTAGCCTGTTTCCTTTGTCTCCAAGAACTCGGGTGGAAGCCACTGAGAATCAATCCAGCTCCTGTCTGTATAACACTCTCTTGGCTGCTTAGCTAGACAGAACATTGAGAATTGCCTTTTACAGAAGATCTTTTCATCATAGAAAGTCTTCCACACAAGATGGGGAGAGATCAGGGAGAAGCAGTGTCCACAGTCTATCAGAACAGTCCGAGACCAGCCAAGAGAAGGAATGGACAGAACCAGAATCGTCTGCTATCACCAAAATCAAATCCAAAAGGTTAGCAAAAATTTTCAGCCTGTGGAACGTGCTGGTAATAAGATTCCTCACTTGTGGAGCCAGCTACATTCAAAGTGAGGAAAGAAGGGTTGAAACCAGTGTTCCCTCTAAGCTGAGTTAGTGTGAGCTAACTCACAGTTTTTTAGCCTCCAGCTCACACGTTTTTGTCTTAGCTCAGGAAGGATGGCTCCAGAGCAAACTAATTTATGCAGTAGCCAGATCGCTTGCTCACGCCTTTAATGCCAGTCGCTCACAAAGTAGAATTCTTGCTCACAAGACTCCACAGCTTAGAGGGAACATTGGTTGAAACTAGATTATGGTTTGCAGATAGGAAGGCGATGTTTGGATTTTTTTTTTTCTCAGAAAAATTGCTAAAATCAGGGAGTCAAACCAAGGCTACTTCCAAATAAGAATTCTCAGTGTAGCTCTCATTGCAGCATCTACATGGCTGTTTTCCTGGCACTTTCCTTGCATCAGCACCCTCTTCCCTGCCACCTGAACTGGAAGCCTTTTAAAAAGAAAAATCAGGAATTGCTAACTCACTGTAGCCTTACAATGATCTATAGTTCCCAGCTCCCCTCCCCTTTTTTTTAAACTAAATCTTTAGCCCTTTTCATTGCAGAATTCTGAGGGGAAATGTGCAGCCTGGTCACCTTAAAAGATTTTACAGATTCATTGTGGTGGAAGCTTTCATGGACTACAGCTCACTTCTCCATGTTCATAAATATTCAAGACTTTTCAAATATATAATTATTATTTTCTTTTATGTTTTTATGTTTTTAATTTTTACAAAGAAAAGATGTACAATACATGAGTACAGTTATACATATGATATAGACAATTGTCTTACATAAATATAGACATAAGCATAGGCATGAACATAGACCGTCATTTATGATCATCTACTTTATCTAAAATAGCTGTTGAAATATTTAAAACAAAGATATTTTGAATTTGCAAATAAACCGGGAAGATATCTAGCACATTGTTTAAGAAAAGAAAGAGAGGGGGAAAAAGGATACCAGGGATTAGGAAAGGAAATCAAATATTCTATTCAGAACAAGAAATGTTGGAACAAATAAAAGCTTTTTCCCCAAACCTTTAAAAAGAAGAATTCATAGATGAAGAAGAAATGGAAAAATATATATTTGAGACACCATTCAAAAGGCTTACGTATGAGCACAGAAAAATATTAAACCAAGCAATAACACTACAAGAAATCAATTATGCTATAAAAAAACTTTTATATTTTTCAGGATTGGCTGCTCACATGGTTATATAAAGTTCCAACTAATGAAACAAGAAACTGATGGAAGAGGTTAGTTAACTTGTGTTTCTTGTCTTTAAACCATTGCAAATCAGATTTTTTTTTCAGATGGGTAGCCATGTTGATCTGCAGTAGAAGAGCAAGATTTGAGTCCTGTAGCTCCTTAAAGACCAACATTTCCAGAGTGTGAGCTTTCAAGAGTCAAAACCTCTTTTGGTATTTGACGAAGGCAACTTTGACTCTTGAAAGCTTATACCTCGGAAATCTTGGCCAGTCTTTAAAGTGCTACTAGATTTGAATCTTGCACACCAGATTGTGTAGTCACTTACATTAAGTTTTATTGAATGAGATTTTCCAGCAGGAAATTGAAACCAATTATTTTGTGTGTTTGCTGTAAGTTTAAATTTCTCACTTTTCCTTTCTTTCCTAAACCCTGTTCTTGAAGTGAATTTTAAATGCTTCTGCAGAAATCAGATTGCTGTTTGGCAATCCATAAGTATCTCTCTGTATTCACTGCTGATCAGTATAGCCAGTGCAACTCCCATAGAGGGTGTTCTTCACCCTAGAGACCCCTTCATTAGAAATTCTACAGTTTCATTATTTGTAAGGATAATCTGAGCCCATAATAGCAGAGGGCAAGGGAATGGTGAATGGTCTGAAAATCTTTTCCCCAGTTCTCCCCCTCCAAGATTTTGAGTCCTCCCAAGAGCCTGGCCATGCTAGTTCCCTTTCACTTGATTTTATTCTTCAGATGACTCTTAACATTATATGCCACCTTGTTCAGTCCTCTTCTGGGCCTTTTTAAAACACCCTTCTCCCTGAATTCTTTCCTTGGCTTTTCCTTCGTTTACAAAGCCAGATTTGTTACATACCCAAGAAGCCCCTCAAGTATGTAGACACGCCTGCTTGCTTCTGTTGCTTTTGTTAGTGGCACAAGCCTCCAGCATTTACTATTAAACACAGTATTTTGAGCTGCGAAGTTTGCTTCAGTTGAAGTGAAAACCTTTCTGAAGACAATCTGGATTTTGAGTGAAACTTTCCAACTCCTAGCAGACATACCGGTTCTCTGATAGAGCAGGCCGACAGTCCATTGTCCTTGATACGATACTTGCAACAAGAATTTAATTTCAAGTCCTTTATTAAAAATAAATTGATCTTCGACGTGGTCTCTGTGCTTCACACCAATGGGATCTAGTGCGCACGCACTGGATCGATCGGTGCTGTAGCAAGCTCTTTTAACGGATTTTCGCACCCAGTCCCTCGGGCATGCACAGGAACCCCACCGCGCATGCCCAGAGGGGTGGGTGCGGACATCCCGCCAGTTCCTTTTTTACCGCCGCGTTGGAAAGATCTCTTTTGTCGTCGGTCTGATTGGTTTGCTGTTCGCCTTTGCCTCACAGCTCTCAGCTCTTAGGAATTATTTCCGTTCTTTATTTTATCTCTTTTAGTAATTTGTTCTTTTGAAAACTTTTTTAAAAAACAAACTTTATTTTTTTCTGAGGGGAATTTACCTCAGGCCTTCGGGCCCCCCCCCCCCCCAACCGTTTTTCTCCACTTCTTATGGAGAAGAAGTGGGGAGTTTTCAATAGATGCAGACGTTGTGGTAGCAAACATGCTCCTCCCGACTGTCATACCCTCTGCATTTTTTGCCTTGGAGAGTCTCACAAGCCAGAGTTGTGTTGTCACTGCGCTCGATTCTCTAACCAAACGAGAAAGAACCGCGCTGCGCACCTTAAAGTGGCGCTGCTTGAATCGGCCCTTGCTCCTGCCTTAGCGATGGAAGAGAGACCGTCTATATCAACAGCTCTGGCATCGAGACCTGCCTCCGATGTTGACCACCCAATACCGAAGGCCTCGACATCGAAGACACGATTGTCCGCCTCTACACCGATCAAAAAGAAGGCTAAGGCAAGTACAGAGCATAAGTCCGTGAAGAAGGGCACCTCCAAGTCCCTTAAGGCAGTGAAGAAGGAGAAGGAAGCGGTGTCTGCACTGGGTGATGCCCCTATAGTGCCTCCCGCTCCAACGGCAGTATCGATATTGGAGGCCCAAGTCCCTCCACCAATACCAACCATCCATGTATTGGACTCCCCTTTCCACCAGATGGAGCCTCCTTACTCTGACATCGAAACGGTAGAGCTCCTAAGTCATCAGATGGATGCAGAGCATTCTCCATCTCCTTCTCCGTCGTCGACATCGACGGTATCGGAAGCTCCCGACATCGATCCACGTCGGCACCGGTATGCCTCATGTGACACGCAGCGTCACCCTCCTCGTCTGCTCACTCAATCTGTCGATATCGACGACCGACATTACAGGGACAATACTCACAGATGAGCTAGTCTCCCAGACATCCACGGTCCAGAAGCCGCTCCCCCAGAGTCTTCCTGCCTCCCCCACCGCCAATACCGTGGAATCAACGACAGTTGAGGTACTTCTACGGGGCTTACCCACCGTCCATGCCGTGGTTGACTCCAGCGGGCTATTCTGATTGGGATTGCTACTCGACCCACTCCGTTCATAGGTCGAGATCCCCACACAAGTTGAGACCTTCGGCATCTCTGTCGCGTCCTCCTATAGTCGATCCGTCCCACCATCCTCTGGAACCAAGTTGTCCACTTAATCCTCCGGTCACTCCAAACCCTGTCATTCCTGTTGTCCAACCGAAACCAGTACCCTCTCAACAGGACATTTCGGTCCACATGCAGGCGCAGGCAGTAAATGAAGCCTTCATTTCCACCTGGCCGAACAGCTTCAGCTGTTCGAGCTCCACCGTGGCTGGAGTGAGCTCCCGGCCCTATGTCCCAGCTCCCACCCACCCAGCGGCTCGAAAGCCCGTTAAAGGGCAAGTAGACAAATGGGTACCTGCTCTTAGAGTGGGGGGGCACCCATCCTCGTGGCGTGGCGGCGTGAGCAGCGGAGCAGCGGCAGTTGGCGAGTCGAGCTAGAGAGCGAAGGCTGGGCTGGAGCCGATTGGATAGAGGCCGGCTGCGGGAGCACGTGCTGACGTGTGCTTGGCCCAGGCCTGGGAGGAGTCGCGACGACCGAAGGAAGACCTGCACCAGGAAGATGTCATCGCCGGACTGGAAAAAGACTGCCCGCAGAAAGACCACAATAACGAAGTCTCCGCTTCAGGGTGCCTGTTAGGTTAGTCACTTCCCCATTGTATGTGTGTGTGGCCTTAGGTAGGAATTGTATCAAATGTATAATGTAAACCGCTCAGAGCCCTTAGGGGGTGAGCGGTATATAAATCGAAGGAAATAAATAAAAAACAAGACTCCTCTGTTTTTATGGAAGAGGACTCAGATACGGAGGCTTCTGAGGCTCATACCTCTCCAGACCATGCATCTCCCAGCCAAGATGTTGCGGAGGACTTACCTGTCTCTCCATCGGACAACCTTACCTCCTACACTGATTTAGTCAAGAGAATGGTCCACTCTTTAGGTCTCTCTGTCGTCCAACAACACCCACAGGCGACAGATTCTGTTTACAACATAGTTCAGCTCAATACCTCATCCACCTTGGCATTGCCCATGTCCTTAGTACTACTGCAGGCAGCAAAATCACCATGGCTAAAGTCTTCATCTGCTCCTGTGTCTACAAGGAAATTGGATCACATGTACAGAGTCCAAGAGTCGGATGCCGAATTCCTCTCCTCTCACCCACAGCCTAGCTCAATGGTGGTAACATCCTCCTCCAAATGTAAAAGAACCCATTCCACTCCTTCAGATAAGGAGGGTAAGAAATTGGATGCCTTTGGCAGGCGCTTCTACTCTACAGGAGCGTTAGGAGTCAAGGCCTCTAACTACCTGGCCTGTATGAACCGATATCAGTATACTCTCTGGGAACGGTTCTCTGAACTTCTCACCCATCTCCCAGACAACAAACTTCAGGCGGCCAGAGTCATCCAAAAAGTAGGCATGGTGTTGGCAAAACAACAGCTCAACACGACCAAACATGTCCTCGAAACATCTTCACGAATGATGGCTTCTGCAATAGCTCTCAGAAGACATTCCTGGCTCCGCAACACTACCCTCCCGTTAGACACTAGGTCTTATGTGGAAGACCTTCCCTTCGATGGCCAGGGTCTCTTTAATGCCACTACTGATTCTATTCTGCAGGAGTTGGATAAGAGTATAAAGGCATCTCGAGTTCTAGGAGTATCGTCCTCTGCAAGGCAACAATACCGTCCTTGCACCTGGTCAAGGTCCTGGCAGAGACGTACCCCAACTCATCAATCTCCAGATACATGATGGAGACCAAGAACGTTCTCTGGAGGCCAAAAACCTGCATTCCATAAACCAAAATTTGGCTCTGGACAACAAGCTTCCCGCACCAAGCAGTCCAAACCCTCCAAGCAGGGTTTTTGACTTCCCAGTCACCGAGTCAGCTCAAACCCGTCTGTCACCCTTCCTTCAAAATTGGCATCACATAACCTTGGACGAGTGGGTGCTGTCCATCTTGTCCCGGGGCTACAAAATTCAGTTCCAACAGAACCCCAATACTCCTGTCGTCGTATCCACGCCCCCTTCCCCACCTCTTCTCGAGGAGGTGTCCGTCCTTCTGCAGAAGGGAGCCATCGAACAGGTACCACCACACCTCCGAGGGATGGGGTTTTATTCCCGATACTTCACAGTCCCGAAGAGAGACGGAGGCGTTCGACTCATCTTAGACCTCAGGGAACTGAATCGTTTCGTGATCTACCACCGCTTCCGCATGGTGTCCCTACAACAGATCATGCCATTGCTCCGGAGACACGTCTGGATGGCCACCCTCAACCTCCAAGATGCATATTTCCACATCACTATCCATCCCTTCCACCGCCAATACCTACGCTTTGCGATTGGTCAACAGCACTATCAGTATACGGCCCTTCCATTCGGCCTATCCAGCGCCCCAAGGGTCTTCGCAAAAACTATGATTGTGGTTGCAGCCTTCCCCCGTCTCAGGGGTATCTCCATCTACCCATACATAGACGATTGGCTTCTGGTAGCACCTGCTAGGAACGCCCTGGTCTCCAATGTCACAGAGACTCTAGCACTATTGGAGAATCTGGGCCTCCGAGTCAGTTGACAAAAGTCCCAATTGTGTCCGGTCCAGCGCATACAGTACATCGGCGCAATACTGGATTCTCAGACATGCATGGCTTACCTGCCCCACGACAGGGCAACAGATATCATCTCCTTAGCCACAGTCGTCCATACCCAAACCTCTGTCACTGCCTTCCAAGTTCAGTGGCTACTTGGCCTGATGGCTGCAACAATGTCAGTTCTCATCTTTGCAAGACTAAAAATGCGCCCTTTACAACTCTGGTTCATTTGCAATTACGACCTGTTGAAAAATGCACACACTGTCGTCCTATCCCCTCCTCACAACATACAGGACTCTTTACTTTGGTGGACTGTCCCTTTGAATATCCTCCAGGGAGCGACCATCCACCCTCCATCACCCGAGGTCACCATTACGACGGATGCTTCCCTGACAGGATGGGGGGCACACTCCATGGGCCTCTCGGTTGGAGACAAATGGGATGCACGGGTGAGGAAGCATCACATAAACTTCCTAGAACTGCTGGCTATACGACATGCAGTAGCCAGCTTCCTACCGTTGATCAAAGGAAAATGTGTCACGGTCCTCACGGACAACACCACAGCGCTTTCCTACGTCAACAGGCAGGGAGGCACAGTGTCCCTTCACCTATGCAACCTTGCCATCCAATTGTGGGACTTATGCATAGCCAACAATGTATTCCTTGTGGCCACTCACTTTCCCGGTCATATGAACGTGCAAGCAGACCATCTAAGCCGAGTGGGACTCAGCCTCCACGGGTGGGGGATGAACCCAACATACCTCCTCTCACTCTTCCACAAGTGGGGAGTTCCCCAAGTCGACATCTTTGCCACACGAAACAACAAAAAGTGTCCTCTGTTCTGCAGTCGAGGAGGCAAAGACCCACAATCTCTGGGAGACGGCCTCCTTTACCCTTGGTCTACGGGACTCCTTTACCTGTTCCCCCCCTTACCTCTGCTTCTGAAAGTGGTCCACAAGATTCTCAACTATGCCGCGGACTGTATCTTACTAACTCCATGGTGGCCAAGACAACCTTGGTTTTCAGCAGTCCTCGAGGTATCACAGTCCTCGAGGTATACCATCAATTCCCTCCAGCTCCGGACCTCCTCCTCCTCTCCGACTTCCCCGTCCTACATCACAACATACCACAACTGAAATTGATGGCATGGAGGATAATGACATCGGCTTCTCCGCCCGTGTAAGGAATGTCCTGTTAAATTCCAGGAAACCCACTACGCAGAGGTCCTGCGATTATAAATGGCGTAGGTTCTGTTCTTCGCTTGGAGATGACGCCCCTCGAGCCATCTCTGTGGGTCTCGAACGAGTCTTCCAATTCCTCCTCACCCTAGCTGACTCGGGACTTTCCCATTCATCGTTACGAGTTTATTTGGCCGCTCTTTCGGCCTACCATGTTCCAGTTGATGGATGCACTTTGTTTTCTCATCCGATTTCCAAATGGTTTTTAAAAGGTTTGTTACACCTCTACCCTCCTGTCAAGGCTCCAGTTGTTGCTTGGGACCTTCCCTTCGTTCTCCGCCAGCTTATGCGGAAGCCATTTGAGCCGCTTGCAACATGCGATCTCAAACTCCTGGCATGGAAAACAGCCTTTTTAATTGCCATTACCTCGGCTATGCGAGTGGGAGAACTGTTGGCCTTCCGCCATGATACCCCTTTCCTGTCATTCCTGCCAGACGGAGTCTGCCTCATCCCGGACATCTCCTTCCTGCCGAAGGTGGTGTCAGAGTTCCACCTGCAGGCAGAGGTCTTCCTCCCTAACTTCTTCCTAAATCCAACATCAGCGGAAGAAAAGTTATTACACACTTTAGATGTGAAACGCACACTTGGATTTCTACCCAGGCATTTTGTGCCATTGCTTTGTTGGTGCATCCCACCTGAAACATTTCTGTAGTGGTTCAGCAAATCGTAGGACCCAGCCATTATTCTTAAAGTTTATTTTCTTTTAATGGCCATTGGATGAACTCTTTAGTATTCTTCAACCCAGGGATCAGAAACCCGTTTCAGTTAAAGAGCCAAATGATGTCAATGTTCAGAGTAAGTGAACAACAGAAAGCTGGTATAAAAGAACCCATTTGCATAACTTAAGATATATAACTTAATATTACTGACAACCAATGTGCTGATTAATGATCCTTAAAGTTTCTTCATCCCAAACACTGGTTGTTGTGAGTCTTTTATTAGACAGCGGCACTCACAAGTTTTCTCAAGATGTAATATGTACAGAAGCACCCTGCACAATTCTTGTAGTACACTGGGATAAATCTGCACAATTCCCACTTGTACTCCTGGCAACTGTTCCCCTCTGTCATCTCCGTTTCTGTAAGCCATCACTAAGAAGCCCCATAAAAATCTAAGCCTGCTATTCCTTTCACATACTGGTTACTCTAGCATGTCACCTAGAAAAAGAAGAGTGTGCCATAGAGTTGCAATGAAGTCATGGCGACCCCATCCACAGGCCATTCCAGACAAGCAACAAGCAGAGGTGGTCTGCCATTGCCTGTGTTTGCATAACAACCCCTTTCTTCCATCCAAGTACTGACTGTGGTTGACCCTGCTTAGCTCCCAAGCTTTGCTGAGCCCCAGGCTAAACTGGGCTATCCGGGCTACCAGCATTCAACCTACCCCTCTAGTATACCTTAACTTAAAAGTTTAATTTTTTTTTTAAGAGCCATATTTGATTCTGTACTAAGCCACATTTGATCCCAGAGCTATAGGGTGCAGACCCTTGCTTTTAAACCTTTTCAAGGTAGTGGAAACAGCACTAGACACAGAGCTTCTCAAGCAGTAAGTTCTAGTTGTCCCTTGTTGCCACTAGGTGTCACCATAAACCTTGCCAAAAATTGTACTGGGAAGGGAGGACCCAGTTGTTTGGATCGCCTTCTATGCTGTGAGCCGTGTCCTGATGGAGGAGGAGGAACAGCAAATGTAATTAGTCAGTGTTGTTAGCCAAGGAAATGTTGCTATGCCACGTTCATCAGTGGCTCTGCTGTTTGATGTATCATGCAGATCCCTGCCGCACCGTGACATAGCAATAACCAAATGATTTCATACGTGGTGCGTAGGGGGCGGGGACAGAGACAGGAAGGAAGGGACGGTTCCCCCTCCCCAGTGCCTTGATTGTTTGACAAATGGAGAGTGATACTAACATCTGGAAGGAACTGCCAGCCTCCCTGACCTTGGAGTCTTTCCCCCCTGGGACGTGGCCGGTGCCTGTCATTAACTGGCATGTAGAGTACTCTTAGCAAGCTGGGAACAGCCTGTAAGCTGGAATGGTGCCATTAATTCCCAACCGAAGATGTGGTTACCCAACCTCCTCCACCCTGGCAAGAGAAAGCTGGCAACCCCTCCCGTGTTAGCATCAGGACCTCTCTTCCCTAAGAGCAGCTGACAGCCGAGGGATTTCTTTTCTTTCCCCCCTTCCCCTTTTTTGTGGTGGGGGGAGGAGGGGAGGGATGCTCCAAGCCCAGCCGGCCAGGGAATAAAGTACCTGCATTTTTCACACAAAAAACCCCAACAAGGGACTGACTCGTCTTGCTTCCTTCCCCCACAGACACAGCGTTTGCTCTGCAGCAGGCCCTCCACCAGTCTGTCTTCATGCCGTCCCTTTCCACAAACCCGACCCACCGCCTCCATCTCTGCTGGGAGCAACACTGCAAACTGCTGCCGGAGGTCTCAGGCCTTACTGCCAAGAACGTGGCCAAATGGAGCGTGGAAGAGGTAAGTGGGGCTTGCTGGTTCCCCTTCTCCTTCTGACTCATTAGGCAGTATTTTTTAATACAGTGGCAGTGATTTTATTTCATTTTAATCTGTCTGCTTTACAGTAGCATCTGGTTCTGGACTGTAGCAGTCCAGCTGAAAGTTTCACCCAGGACCCAGACAAGACATGCATGTTTTGATTCTTCTGTTTCCAGCCATGACATTTTTTTAAAAAACTGGCTTTTACCCTGTTTGGGGCCTTTGCTGACAATAGCTTTTTTCCTGTGTGCATGCCCTCTCTCTCTCCTCCCCCCTCCCCCAGTCTCTCTCTTTTGCTGCTGCTGACTCACTTTTACTCGATGATTGTCTTGCGCATGCTTGCATGGCCATGTCACAAAACATCCCCACAGTGTGACATGATTGCTGGTGGGCACACTCATTCTGTCAGAACTATGTTGTTGTTTTTTAACAGTGGAAGATCATGCCATGCTTTGGCACAACACAGGACACTGCCCCTGCAGTAAGGGGTTAAGTGACACAGCACATATCTGGTGTATGATGCACGTCAGTCTCTGTGAGTTGCTTGTGGTGGTAGCAAATGCTGCACTGCCAGATTCAAAAACAGCAGAGAGGGGTTTTTTGTGTTGTCAGGGCATGGGGCTGAGTAAAAAGTCTTTTGGGTCTGATTTTCACTTGTCCTTGCTTTGGAAGCTTCATTTGTTTTGTTTTGTAATTTTCTTTATTATCAGAATTACTTTTTTTCTTTTTATGCTTGTAATCTTTGAAAAGTTTAACCATCAGAGTTTGACAGTTTAAAATGTTAGTATGTACTGCTTTGCTTTGAAATGTCAAAAGGGTTTTGTTGTGATAGCGGTTATTTATGCAGGATTGTGTGTTTCAAAACAAACATCCCAGAAAGTTGGGATCTATTCCTGTCCTGTCCAGCTTTCCTTCTGTCTTTCTGTCATTAGCAAATCATACTGCACAAAAGGTTTGTGGGGGTGATAAAGGGACATATTTATGTTTTTAAAAACCATTAGTTCAGTTTATATTAGCCAACCAAAGAAGGTTTGAACCCCGTCTAGCCACAAGATATAAGGCATTAACGGTGCCAACCTAAGCAGAGTTACAACTTTCTAAGTCCATTGAAGTCAGCGAGCTTAGAGGGTGTAGCTCTGCCTTGGACAGCTCTGTAAAACATGACGCTACAGTCAGATACCATCATTTTGCAAGTCAGCTGCAGGAAATCTCCACATTCTCTCCTAAGCTGCTGTGTATGGGTAGCAATCTGGAGAGTCTAAATGTATTCAGTTATTTGACAATCAGATGTAAAAAATGTAAATTTTATTAATAGCACCAAATCCCCTGACATTTGTTGCTAACTTTCCAAGGAACAAATAGATGGATGTGTGGATGATGAACCTAAGTAAGAAAAAGGCCCTTTCCTTGTACGTTAAACTCCTTTTAAATCACAGCACCCAGAACTTCATTCTGTTCCTTTTTTTCAAGAGGGGGAAATCATTACAGAATGTAACACAATTCTGCCCTAAGTTGCTGTATCTCTGGATAAGGGAGCATATAACTTTTTGAAAGAAATACAGCACAGCAGCTGCTCATGTGAGCAATGTAAATATAAATTCACAGAATTTATTCTTTCTTAGGCACATGACAAGAATTTAATAATATAGAATTGGTGACACATTCATAAGAACATAAGACGAGCCCTGCTGGATCAGACCAGTGGTCCATCTAGTCCAGCGTCCTGTCTCAGACAGTAATCAACCAGTTCCTCTGGACAGCCAACAGCGGGGCATAGAGGCCAAGGCCTTCCACTGATGCTGCCTCCTGGCTCTGGGATTTAGAGGTTTAGTGCCTCTGAACGTGGAGGCTCCCCTCAGTCACCATGGCTACGCTCTCTGTGTAAAGTAGTATTTCCTTTTGTCTGCCCTGAACCTACTGTCCATAAGCTTCATTGGATGCCCTCAAGTTCTAATATTTTGAGAGAAGGGGGAAAAATATCTTTGTCAACTCTCTCCACTCTGTGCATAATTTTATAGGCCTCTATCATATCCCCCCCCCCTTAGTCGTCTCTTTTCTAAACTCCCAGACTCTTCAGCCTTTCCTCATAGGGAGGGTGCTCCAACCTCCTAATCATCTTTGTTGCCCTTCTCTGTATTTTTTCCAGCTCTGTGATGTCTTTTTTTTTTTTTTGAGATACAGTGACCACAGCTGTACACAGTATTCCAAATGAGGCCACACCATAGATCTATACAGGGGCATTACAATATCAGCTGTTTTATTCTCAGTCCTTTTCCTAATAATCCCTATAATACTTTAAATAACTGGTCTGAAGATTGCTAATGGTGGTCCGTCTGACCACAATTGCTGCTTTCACCCAGTTAAATTCTTTCTTCAAATTTTGCTCGTTATTGTGCAGGACAAAATAAACTAACACTGCAGTTGTAAGCTGCTTCTCCAGCTTTTGAAGAAAGTGGCCTTGAAAGGATTTAACTCTGCCTAGGATTGTGTGCGCCTTGGTGTTTAGTCATGCCGGCCACATGACCACAGAAACATCTTCAAACAGCGCTGGCTCTTCGGCTTTGAAATGGTGATGAGCACCGCAACCCTAGAGTCAGACTTGACTGGCTTTCGTGCAAGGGAACCTTTACCTTTTACTTTAGGATTGTACTGTAGATCCAAGAGCAGGCTCTCTTTTCTCCCACCCACCAGCTGTTCTTCAGCATCTGAAGAGTACCTTACATATCTTAAGAGAAGACTTCCTGCACAGAGCTTTCTAACCAATCAGAGTAGGATGAGAAGTGGTTTTGCTTTGTTTCACATCTACTTTTCTGAAAGCTGTATGCCTGGCTCTTTCATCTGAGTAAACATGTGTTTTCTCAGATGAAAGTGCCACTGAGTTCAGTAAGGCTTGCTTCCAAGTAAGAGCCAAGGGCTGCAGTTACGTGCCCATTCTTATTTGGATCCCAAATATTTGTCATTGTGCGTTATCTGTTAGAGTTGAGCTCAGTTCCCTTTTTATTCAGATGGTGGAAGGTCAGATGGGCTGTGCTCAGGGCTTTTTTCTGGGGGAACCTGCCAGAACAGAGTTCCAGAACCTCTTTGTCAAGATTCTTTTTTAAAATATTTAAAAGTTTGTGAGTTTTCAGTATACAGATTGAAAACTTCAATTCTCTCTTGAGAGTTTTAAAAAAAACACCCTGTGCAGCGTTGTTTAGGGCAGAGGAAGGAATTTATCCTAGTTTTCCTCTGCTGTTGCCCTGACTACCCAAATCATCTAGGGTATTCAGATGATGGGGAAGAAACTTTAAATAGAGTGTGACTATTAGTTAAAAGTGTTTTTCACTCCCCTGTCCATTCCCACATCTTTCAAGGCCACTAACACAATTATTAATGAATAGATATCAAAAACCAAAGTACAAACCCATGAGGGGTTTCGAGGTGCCATACGGGAGATTGTTAACAAGTCCCTCACGGACGGACGGTTCCCTGAGGCACTCAAGGAAGCGATGGTCCGCCCTCTCCTGAAAAAACCACCTTCAGACCCGGCCGAATTGGCCAACTATCGGCCGGTGTCTAATTTGCCCTATTTGGGAAAATTGATCGAGAGGGCGGTGGCGACACAGCTTCAGGGCTTTCTGGATGACGCTTCTGTCCTGGATCCGCTCCAGTCCGGCTTTCGCCCTGGTCATGGGACGGAGACGGCGCTGGTTGCCCTTACTGACGACCTCCGGAGGCATCTGGATCGAGGCGGGGTGGCGGCACTGGTGCTGTTAGATCTGTCGGCTGCATTTGATACAGTCGACCACCAGTTGTTGACCCACCGCCTCGCCGACGTGGGGATACAGGGGCTCGCCCTTCAATGGCTTGCCTCTTTTCTCCAAGGTCGGGGACAGAGAGTGGTAATAGGGGAACAGCAGTCCCAGAGGCACCCACTTGAATGTGGTGTGCCTCAGGGGGCAGTGCTTTCCCCGATGCTTTTTAACATCTATATGCGCCCTCTCGCCCAGATTGCCAGGAGGTATGGGCTGGGTTGTCATCAGTACGCAGATGACACCCAGCTCTATCTGATGTTGGGCGGCCAGTCGGGCTCCGACCCAGAAGATCTGAACCAGGGATTACAGGCTGTGGCTGGGTGGCTCAGGCTGAGCCGGTTGAAACTAAACCCAGCGAAGACGGAGGTCCTGGGCCTGAGTCGGAACGGTTTGGGGTTGGGGCTCCCTCTCCCGACCTTCGATGGGGTGCCTTTGGTGCCTGCGTCGGAGGTTAGGAGTTTGGGAGTGCTCCTGGATTCCTCTTTAACGATGGAAGCCCAGGTAGCGGCCACTGCCAGATCTGCATTTTACCATCTGAGGCAGGCTCGGCAGTTGGCTCCCTTCCTCGACCGCGACGACCTGGCTACAGTGATCCATGCGACGGTCACCTCAAGGCTAGACTACTGTAACGCTCTCTACATGGGGCTGCCTTTGTTGCAGACCCGGAAGCTGCAGCTGGTGCAGAATGCGGCGGCTAGGCTGCTGATGGGCCTCCCCAGGTGGGAGCACATCAAGCCTGGGTTGAAGGCGCTGCACTGGCTGCCAATAGCATACCGAGTCCGCTTCAAAGTGCTGGTACTTACCTTTAAAGCCCTATATGGCCTGGGTCCGACCTACCTGAGGGACCGCCTTTCCCCGTACATACCCCCAAGAGCACTTCGGTCGGGGACCCAGAACCGGTTGGTGATTCCGGGGCCCCGAGAAGTAAAGTTTGCTGCTACAAGGGCGAGATCTTTTTCAGTGGTGGCCCCTACCTGGTGGAACGAGCTCCTGGAGGAGATCAGGGCCCTGCGGGACCTTATGCAGTTCCGCAGGGCCTGTAAGACGGAGCTCTTCCACCAGGCTTTCACGTAGGGGCCGCCACTACCACTACCATCATTGCCACCACTACCATCAACGGTGGCAATTCCATCGAGATCGAAAATCGCCCTGGTCAACCTACGGCAAGAGAATTGCGCTGTAATAAGA